GTCACCACCTGGGAACTGGTTTTTCTCCTCTGCTTCTCATTTGGGGAAAGGCCATGGTGTGACAGTGATTTCCATTTTGACCTCATTTGTCTAAGATGTCAGCAGCCCCACCTATAGACTGTGGGTACAACAGCTGTTTAACTTTCATAACTTTTTGGTGATGTTTTGATTTTTCTGGGTTTCCCCGATTGAATAAGAGGTATTTTTCTCTCCAGGCCATACTGACAGCCTGCTTTAGAGGGTTCAGGACTAGTGGTTCTCAACCTTCCTAATGTCATGACCCTTTAACAAAACTCCCCAACCAGAAAATTATTTCATTGATACTTTATAACTATAATTTTGCTATAGTTATAAATTGTAATGTATATATATGATATACAAGATATATGATATTTGAAAGGGTTGTTTAAGCTCCCAAAGGGGTCTCAACCCATAGGTTGAGTACCATTGGTCTGGACATAGTGAGAAGCCCTTACCAATGTAGATTGGTTGCCCAATGTTGCTGTGCAGAAGTCTCCATCCCTTGAAGGCAAAGGGTCTTCCTGGGTCCCTCACCTGTGTTCACATTGTTGATGGTTACTGATGTACCAAATGACCTCAGACTTAGTGAATTAGAGTAATACAGTTTTCTTTTACACCGTTGAAAAATGAGGATTCTACAAAGGGTTCCATTAGCTAAAAGCAGTGGCTGGAGCTCTTCCTAGGGATCTTTCCCTTTACCTGGTGGCCCCTTCTATCCCCAAGGCCAAAAGTAGATGGCTGAGTCCCTCCCAGGCTGTACCTCTCCAGTCTACACTAGCCCTCTATGGTGCCTTCTTTCATGAAGAGCACATATGATAAGACTAAACCCATATCGTCTTCACAAACAACCTAATCTTTTCTGCCAGCTTTGTTTTCCCATATGGCCTGTCTGCTCACGATTCTGAGGCATGATCATGCATGCTGTATTGACAAACAGAATAACACCGTTTGGCTAGTCTGTAATGAAGCAGATTTTGTATGATTCTGGTTCAGGGAACTGGAAATCCAAGATAAAGAGACCATCGGCAGAGGAAGGCATTCTTGTGGGAAGTTATCATCACAGAAGGGATCCCATGGGCTAGAAAGACAAGCGAGAGAGCCAAACTCCCTTTCATAATTAAACGTTTTCCACGATAGCATCATTAATTGATTTTTATTTATAGGTCATATCTCTCCTGACCCAATCAATTCCTCCCAAATACATTCTCACCGGGAATTAATTTTCAGAAAATTACTTATGGGCAAATGCATTCAAACCAGAGATGAGGGTGACTATTCAGACATCTATAGCAGAAGGGGCATCATTCTTCCTACCTTGTGTACCTTAAGATCTCTAGCTACCTCCTTCCCCATGGTAGCCTAGCGCCTCACTGAGGGAAGTGAGTTCTTGGTGATTAATGATATACAAAGACTGAAGCACCTTGCCATGTCCTGTCACCAGTAACAAGCTCAAAATAGCAACAGCCAGCTGTGGGCAAACACACACACACACACACACACACAAATAAACTTTATAGTATCTCTAATTTATAAATCCCTAGTTTAATCAAAACATTATTTAGATTCTATTCCTTTATACCAATGTGCTCTAAATGTACAAGTCACTGGGCTTTGTTGTGACTCTTTGTATATGTTTATACTGTAAACATCTTCATCCTCCCCACTATCCTCCATCTCCACCTGCACACCACCCTGCTGCTTCCTCTTCCTAAATACTTCCCTTTTTTAACGTCTGTTATTAAAATCTAAATTTTGCAATTGTCTTTTTGAGTTTGCTTGTTTCACTTAACGTAATGTATTTTACAGCTCCATCCATTTTTCTGAGAGCAAACCCTTACACATAGATGAAAAATACATTAATATGTATCTCACATTTTTTAAACCCTTAATCCAGTGATCAACAGCTAAGGTTACTCCATGGCTTGTCTGTTGCACACAGTGTGGCAATCAACATGGGTGTGCAGGGGTCCTGGTTACTTTTTATTGTCAATTTGACTCAACCTCAGCTGAAGAATTGCCTCCATCACATTGGTCCTTATCTTTGTTTGATGGCTGATGTGGGAGGGTCTAGCCCACTATGGGTAGTGTCATCCCCTATGAAGGTGGCTCTGGATTGTATGATAAGGAGAGAAAACTGAGTAGGTCGTGGATAGCAAACCAGTACTTGGCATTCCTGAGATGTCTCTGCTTCGGTTCCTGCCTCTAGATTCCTGCCTGAGTTCCTGCTCTAACTTCCCTCAGTAACAGACTGGTACCTAGAAGTGTAGAGTGAGATAAACTCTTTTCTCCTCAAGTTAGTGGCTATGTTGAGAATATTCTTCTTGTATTTATTTATTGCCTATTTGTTCTTCATGTTTTGAAAGCTGTCTCTATTGATCTTAGAAAAATGATACCACATGTTTTCTCTTACAGGCTCTGTGTGTGCGTGTCTCTGTCTCTGTCCATCTGTCTCTCTGTCTCTGTCTCTCTCTGTCTATGTGTGCATGTGTCTGTATCTGTGTGAGTGTCTGTGTGTGTGTGTGTGTGTGTGTGTGTGTTCTCCAGGCTTAAAAAAATCGCCAAGGTTGTAAATCTCAGCAGGTACCTAGAGAAGGAAGAAGATGGGGAGAAGGAGGGGGGAAAACCATGTCATTTGAGTTAAACCCACACTGAGGTCAGCCACACAGTGGACCAACAGTCACATAATGGCAGAGGAGTCATGTAAGAGCAGAGAAAGAGTAAAACTCAAAGTGTGAAGGAAAGGATGCTTAAAACTGATATAGAATGATAAAAGAAGAAGAAGTTGCATTCAGAAATTCTTACAGGTGAGTTCTAAATAATATATATATATATATATATAACCTTAAAGTAGAAGGGAATGATTCAGGAAGAGAAAGAGGATGAACAGGGAATGATTCAGGAAGAGGAAGAGGATGAACAGAGTGTAGTGGGGACAGGGGAGGCGACTGAAAAGAACTCCTTTTGAAGATCTGAGGAACCATGTAGCATGAACAATTAAAATGTCCTCTCATTTGCAAGTAAATTTCATACTTACCTGTATCCAGTATTCTATCTACCCATATTTCAAAAATAAAATTACCTCATCTATTTCATCCTGTTTAACTGCATTTGATCTAATAAATTCCTTGTAACCAGAAGTGCTGGTAAATTTTAAAGACATTTAAAATATGACTGGTCGATATCGGGTTTGTCATAAGTTTATCCCGACTTTGGAAGCAGGCCCAGGAGTTAATTTTTCCTCGCTCTTTGCAAAGAATCCATAATTCATGATTGCCATTGACTTCAATACAAGGTATTTAATCCTGTCAAATTCCAGCTTTGTTTGAATAAAAATGGCCCTCCTCTAATTGTGGGTTTTGATAAAGCTAATTTTGGTGTGCTATCCAGTGGGCTGCCTCAGAGAGGCTGGCAACATTTCTGATATGAAGAAAGGCAAAGATAACCAAGGGAGAGATGGGAGCTGGGAAAATAACCACCAAGGATGTTGGTGACTCAGAAACCCGAGACTTTTTCAGAAGGGAAAAAAAAAAAAAGATGCAGGAGCGAGCTACTTGGGCAGAATGTGACTCAGGTCACCAGAACACTTGGGTGGGACTTTATTTTGGGTCTCCAGGAAGCTATATGAGAAGCTAAACGCTAGATGCTCTAAGTTTCTGAGCGTAACTAGGGAAGGAACCGACCTGAGAGGGGTTCTATGATGTAAGCAGAGCCACGGTGATGTCACAGAGTACTGGGCGGAGGTTGCGCATCTATTCCACTTGGGGGCGCTAGACTCCCTTGAAGGTGGGTTCACTATCTTCGCAGCGGTGTGTGAAAGCCAGTTCAGCTCCTGAACCCCACTACAGGCTTTTGGTGCCTGACCGATTTCAGAAGTCAGAATCTGGACGACTAAGACATTTTCTTTGGGTAAATACATTTACGAAATAACTGGAACCCCTGTAGCCCCAGAAAGCTCAAAGTTTTCCCTCATACAGTGAGTAACTGTGCGTTCTAAAGTCTTCCACCTTTGGGAGCTAGGGGGATGGTCTAGGTTAGTCCATCTCCTGAGTTGATTACTGATGTTGTTGCTAACAACATCTAATTCAGAATTCCACTAAAATGCCAAAGCTTCTCTTTGTCCGTGTCCGCTTTAGAAGAGATTGTTTCTAAATGGCTGCCGTTACCTGGGCAAATGATTCTTGTTGCGGTCAGATATGCGACAGCTTCACGGAATAAACGTGGGGCTGGGTCAGGAGACACAATACAGAAAGCCAGTAGAACTAGTGTACTGTGTCCCGGGGCAGATATTTGGGGATGCAGGCACGTAGCTCACAGCTTGAGAGTAGAAGAGAGGTGTGGCCACCCTTCTGGCTCGATTGCATGCCAGCTCCCACATTGACCTAGCCTTCCGAGGACAGGTTCCTCAGTAGAGGCAACCTGCCTCAGGGCTGAAGAAATGTGTCTCTGAATGTGTTTACTCCGAGCTTTAGAGAGTCATTTGTTAATTTCCCTATGAACTTTTGGTTTTGTTTTGTCAAGACAGGGTTTCTCTGTGTATAGCCTTGGCTGTCCTAGAGCTCACTCTGTAGACCAGGCTGGTCTTGATCTCACAGAGGTGTGCCTCCACCTGTCTCTTGAGTGCTGGGATTAAAGGCGTGTGCCACCACCGCCCAACCCCCCTATTATGACAACATTAGGTTTAGAGGCCCATACCTGTAAACAGGCACAGCCTTCTTCACCTGCACCAAGTTCTCTTAGACAAGAGCCTTGGTCCAGCATCCTCCCTCACCCCGCCCCCCATTGTTCTTGCAGGTACTTATATGACAGAGGCAACAGCATTGTGCCTGCTTTAAGCAGGTGAGTTCTTCAAACCCAGGCAGTGGGCAAGTATGAAGCCTGAACACAGGATGATAGCCACAAGACAGTGGACCAGGAGTGCTGTGGCCTATCACACCAGATCTACAGCCATGAAGAAGAAGATGTCCCTGAAGAGGATGAGCATGCCATCCCTCCAGAAGCAGAGGAGGAGAAGGCCTTCTTCCCAGGCCCTGAGGAACATTGTCGGCTGCAGAATTTCTCACGGATGGAAGGAAGGTGATGAGCCTGTCACCCAATGGAAGGCCATCGTTCTAGATCAACTGCCAACAAATCCTTCCCTCTATCTGGTGAAGTATGACGGAATTGATTGTGTCTACGGACTGGAGCTCCACAGCGATGAAAGGATCTTAAAGCTTAAGGTCTTACCTCACAAAGTAGTGTTTCCTCAAGTGAGAGATGCCCACCTGGCCAGGGCCATGGTTGGCAGAGCGGTGGAACACAAATTTGAGGGCAATCATGGCTCTGAGGATAACTGGAGGGGGGTGGTCCTAGCCCAGGTGCCGATCATGAAGGCCTGGTTTTACATTACCTACGAGAAAGATCCAGTCCTGTACATCTACCAGCTCCTGGATGATTACACAGAAGGTAACCTCCGTATCATTCCAGAGACTCCTCCAGCAGAGGTGAGGTCAGACATTGACAGTGACGTCTTAATAGGTAAATGTGTGCAGTACACCAGAGGCGACGGGTCCAAAAAGGTCGGCAAGGTCATTTACCGAGTTCTAGCCAAGCCTTCCGTGTACTTCATCAAGTTTGATGGCGATGTCCATATCTATGTCTATAATCTGGTGGAAAAGAGCCATTAAGGCGAAATTCACAAAGTTCGTGGATGTAGATGGATAACTTATAGGATTGGGGGAAAAAATGTTTGTTTTTCAGTGTGTTGGATACCTAAGGGTCTTTGACAACCCCAGTATCTTTGCCAATGGAATCTGTTTTGCTTTAAAAATTAAAATGTGTGACATGACGTGTTGTGTGTGAACCTTTGGTGGAAGAGACGGGGCCTGTGGTGGATGGAACATCAAAGGAAAATGAAAGCATCAACTCAGGCTGTGAACAGTAAGTACGTGTAATGCCACATAGGCTAAAACGAACAGGACTTAGCTGGTCTGGTCTGCAGGGAGAGCAAGGAGGCTTGGAGGAGCAGGGATGGCAGTGGGGGAAAAGATGGATGTTTAGGAAGCAGTGGAGAGGGGCCAGAAACATACAGTTGGGAAAGGAGTGGCAGATAAAAGGGAAGTGGTCTTGAAACTCAAGGGGAAACCCAATGAACTGATTCAAACAGACTCAGAAATCAGAGAGAATCAGGTTTCATTAGTCAAATCAGGTTTCATTTGTCTAATGAAGCCTAACAAAACTTGTCTCTCTTTTTAAGATTGATTATTTTTAAGTATGTGGGTGGGAGCAGGGCATGTGATTGTGAGTACAGGTGACCAAGGAGACAAGAGTGTCAGGTCTCCTGGAGCTGGCGTTAAAGGTGGGTTGTGAGCCTCTGAACATGAGCGCGAGGAACCCAATCCAGGTCCTCTTTGAGAACAAAAGTGTTCTTGAGCACTGAGTCATCTCTCCAGGCCCTACAGTCATCTTTTAAACACATCCAATACTCAGATGTAAAGAAGAGACTAGGTGAAGGTAAGAAAGACAAAACTGATGGTGATCTGGAAAAGGATTAAAGGAAACATGAAGAAGAGAATAGAGGACACTGAGGGACAAACGAATTCCAAGACAGAGTTCTCAAAAAATGAAGCAGGAGACCTAGGAAGCACAGAAAGGTTCTGGAAAGGGTTGAACTTGGGCCGTATCCACATTGGCTTCTTTGGTTCCTTAACAACTAACCACCTATCGCTACAGACGGTGGGTGTGAGATGGGGGCTTCCCAGGAGGACATTTTGACCAAGATAACTCAGACTACTGAATCCAAAACTAAGTTTATATCTACGAGACTCCTGGAAGCATCGTAAAGACCATTATTTTGTATGATCACTTTAGAAGTAATTTAAAAGAGAAAATCAGGATGCTTTGAGCTACTTTCAGGAGTTAAACGGATCCTGTGTAGCTTCCCTGAGCACTGTTTGCCTCTGTTGCATCCTGTGATCTTTTTGAGGATTCCCCAGATGACCACCACAAAGCTCCCATACTGGCCTGTTCATTCCTGGCTCTTTCCTATGCCACTTTGTCATGGCTTTCAAATGCTTTGAGGTTCCTGACCATGTAGCTCTCTCTTCCTGAGAAGCCCCTGTGCTCCATGAGGTCCCCCTGGGCCATATCTACACTCCAAGAGTGTCTTAGGAGGCAGCCTTGTCATGGACTTATTCATCACTGTTCCTTCTCTCTAAGAAAAAGTTTCTATGCTGCAGGACTTGAAAATACTTTCTATCATTGATTAAGTTTGTTATTTGGGAAAGTTCCTGTACTAGCTGGTTGTCTTAGGGTTTCATTGCTGTGAACAGACACCATGGCCAAGGCCACTCATAAGGGACAACATTTAATTAGGGCTGGCTTACAGGTTCAGAGGTTCAGTCCATTTTCATCAAGGCAGGAAGTTTGGCATTGTCTAGGCAGACATAGGGCTGGAGAAGAAGCTGAGAGTTCTGTATCTTGATCCAGTTGCAGCCAGGAGAAACTGTCTCTTCTGCAGACAGCCAGGAGGAGGGTCTCTTGCATACTGAGCAGAGTTTCAAAGCCCACCCCCATAGTGATGTGCTTCCTCCAACAAGGCCACACCTACTCCAAAAGACCACACCGACTCCAACAAGGCCATACCTCCTAATAGGCCAAGCATATTCAAATCACCACACTGGTTTTGTGGCAACTTGACATGATCTAGAGTCATCAGAGAGGAGGGAGCCTCAGTTGAGAAAATGCCTCCATAAGATCTAGCTGTTAGGCATTTTCTTAATTAGTGGGGGAAGGCCCAGCCCACTGTGGGTGGCACCATCCTTAGGCTGGTGGTCCTGGGTTCTTTAAGAAAGCAGACTAAGCAAGACATGAGGAATAAGACAGTAAGCAGCACCACTCCATAATCTCTGCATCAGCTCCTGCCTTCAGGATCCTGTCCTGTTTCAGTTCCTGTCCCGACTTCCTCTGGTGATGAACAGCAATGTAGAAGTGTAAATTGAATAAACTCTTTCCTTCCTAACTTGCTCTTTGGTTATGATGTTTCATTACAACCATAGGAACCCTAAGTAAGACAGTTTCTTATAGAAACAAAATGTCTAGTAGAGCCACTGTCGCTTATCCCATGACCACTAATAGAAATATGTAGACACTTTGTTTTAATTTAAAGGTAAAATGTGCTCATGAACCTACCTGTGATGTAATTATTCTAGTTTGCTTCTTTTGCACCATGATGAATACCATGATCAAAAATAACTTGGGGATGAAAGGGCTATTTGCCTTACAGGTTATAGACCATCACTAAGGAAAGCCAAAATAGGAGCTTGAAGAAGTAACAAGGAACACTGCTGGTTGGCTTGCTCCCTGTCTCAGTCACTGTTCTATTTCTGTGAAGGGACACTATGGTCAAAGCAACTATTATAAAAGAAAGCATTTAATTGGAGGCTTGCTGATAGTTTCAAAAGTTTGGTGCATCATCATGGCAGGGAGCATGGTGCTGGAGCAATAGAGTTCTACTGATAGTCAGAGAGATTCTGGCATGGTACTGGGCTCTTGAAACCTCAAAGCCCACTCCAATTGATACACCCACTTCCAATGAGGCCACATCTTTTTTTAATCCTTCTAATCCTTGGAAATGCTGCCATTCCCTAGTGAATAAATAGTCAAATATTATGAATCTATGGGGGCCCTTATTATTCAAACAACCACACTTCTCATGGCTTGCTCAGCTACTTTTTAAAATACAGCCTAAGAGGCTACATTTTTTTTATACAGGACTACTGATGAGCTTGCGCCCAGTGGTGGGCCCTTCCACATTAACCAAGAAAATGTCCCATAGACTTACCCAAAGACCAACCTAATGGAGGCAATTCTTCGGTTGTTCTCTCTTCTCGGGTGACTCTAGATTATCAAGTTGCGGGGGAAAAAGACCCAGCACAATAATGTTTATCTTACCCTATATCCCACACTCACATACTCATCACCAGCTCCTCTCTTCTATCTCCGCATAAACCCACATTCCTGCTTGGCAGATGTGAAGGGTAACTACTATTACCAGCGTGAATACTCAATGATATGTGACAAGAAATGAAAATGCTCTACAGCCTCCCAACTCCCAGCAAAAACATTCTAGTGTGTGCTATACTTACTGGGAGACATCCCAGTCATTCAGCCACTGGGCGTTTAATAGGTCACAGTGGACCACAGAACCAAAAAGTCACAGCCTACTTCATCTCCTCTCTACAGGAGACATGGCCCTTTATCAAAGCCTGTGTTCTATCTGTAGGCTTAGATTATTCAAAATCTACTTTATTTAGGGTTCTTAAACACTTCAACCTTCCTTCTAGCCCACCAACCAGAGGTAGCAAACAAAGAAGGTTAACAGGAAAAGCGGGTTGTGGACCTATTTAGAAGTAACTCTTTGGGGCAACTCCAATCTTTGTTGTCAGGATATCAGCAGCCCAGCCCAGTCATAAACATTAAACAGGACTCAGTATCAGAAATTCAATCTGGTAGATACCATAATGCTCCAACTAATCAGCATGAAGCAGCAGAAGCAGCAAGAATCACCCAGAATAGGACAAGAAGGTTTTTGTGTGTGTGTGTTTTGTTACAAAATGGAGACCAGCAAAGACCATCAAATCATAGCACTGCTAGTGAAGACCAGCGAAGCCTTGCAAGGTGTACCAATGCAAGAGTATTCTCTCCCTGTCTGTGGGGTTACATTTATAGTCTCTCTAAACATTGAGAGACTGCTCAATGTGTCCTCAAATGTCTGCTCCAGCAAAACATTGCATGTCTTCTCCTGTGTCTGCTTCAGCAAAACATCCTCTCATAAGACAGCTTCCTGAAAAACATCATGTGACACAAGTGAATTTCCAAAGAAACCAGAAATTTTCACTTTGTTGATCCCTATCTCACACTTGGCCATGACATCACAAAATACATAAAGTGAGTCTTGAATGTGTCCTATGCCTCAGCTCCATCAGCCGCTGGAGCTTCTGCAATTGCACTTTGTGAAAATCAACCCCTTTCCATGAGCACAACCTTTGGTTATCCCAATAAACATTGAAAGTCACTCTCTCCATCTTTGTTCTCAGCCAATAACTGTCCAACTTCCAGTCAACTCAGCTATGACCAGAAAAATCCTCATCAAGAAACCCAATGAATTTGAATTTGACTTGATTTTTTTTTTTGGGGGGAGGGAACAGAGTGTTCTCCCTTCCTGGTTACATCAGTGTTTGATTCATCTGTAATAAAACCCACTACTATTAAGAGCAACATTACAGGAGCTATGACAAATACCAAATCACACGACAAGCATCACAGTTGGCCAAGTCTTTTCAGCAGCTTTACTGAAGTATAATTTACATACTAAAAAAATCCATTTATTTTTAAGTGTGTAATTTAATGATTTTAAAGCAAATTTATAGCTTCCTTCCTTTTTATACTCATTTTACCACTAATTCATATGATATTGAAGTCTATTAAAATACAGAAGTAAAATCAGGGGAAGGACCAGAGTGGGAGGCAGCAAGGTTCTTGATTCACTAAGACAACAGATACATTGGCAGACTCTTCCGGATGCAACCACTTGGGAACATTGTGTCTGCTCTTAGTTTGCAGCTTCCAGACAAAAAGCTTAAAGGATTAAGCCATGGTTCCTTTTACATCAAGTCTGGACCTGAAC